GTCGTACGCAACCGGTGTGTTCAGGCCTTAACTTTGTAAACTATACAGGAGCTCTATTCAGTCTGCTGGACTTCAGAGAATTGCTCATTTCTGCATTTCTCATGGAGGCCTATCCTGGACAAAGCAGCCGAGTTAAGTCAAAGGAAAAATGGGTGAAATGTTCAAAAAGGTAATTAAATAAATCAGAATTTATTTTAACAAACTATGACGCCAATAAAAGCTTTAACTCAAAATGTATCCATTAAATATTATGATAATAACCTTTGATAATTTCAGTTGCCTGAACTTGTGCAATTAGGTACAAAAACAAACAACGATACAGTTCATTTTTAACATTGCCGCAAAAGAAAACAAACAAAAAAAAACATATAAACTTTAAAAAACAGTGAGCTTTGATCATTTTAAGGAATCGCTTTAATGGGAGTTTGAGGTGATCTGAAACGTCCATGCGTGCAGCTCTATGAGCCTCTATGAGGCCTCGGTTGCCAAGTCCAACATTTAAAGGCTGAATTCAGTCAATGAAACAAAGGTTGATACCAGGAAGGCAGTTGTACTTTTACACATAAACAGAATGTAATTCTAAAACTAATAAATAAATAAAACCAAAAACTCTTTTTTTCTTCCATCCATGTTATCATAATAATAAAAAAGCACAGAAACACTGAGGGATGGGAGGCCGTCTGGATTTGAGGTAACAGATCAAATTTTCTGGCAGTTAACTGACCCATAAGTTGCTCTTGTAGTTTCTTCTTCTCTGGGTTTTCCCCCTCGCTGTCGCTGTCACTCCTTAAAACAAAAACAAGCAGGAATTACAATCACCTCAAAGCCTGTTCACAGTTACAGCACCTTGTAAAGGTATTGGTAGCCCTTTAACGTCTCCACAATCTTTAACGTGCTATGTGTGGACTTCTAAGTCACTCAAAGCTCTGTGTGAAATGGAAGAAAATGATTCATGTCTTTCAAGCTTTTTCCAAACAAAAATCTAAATATGTTGCATGCATTTGTTGTTAGTAGCCTTATTCAACGCTGTATAGCAGAGGTTCCCAAAATTTACATCTTCCAACCCACAAAATGTTTCCAGACTCCACCCATGATCCCTGCTAATGGTTGAACATGCAAAGATTTCTACATCATCTACTAACCACAACAGCGACAATCAAAGTATTTGGTTTTGTCCATTTTGAAACATTTCTAAGATATAAGGATATATAAGCTTCCTAATTCTTCTGCTCAAAACAGCTCAAGCTTTATCACAATAGATGAATAGAATCTGAGCGTCAGTTTTCAGGAATTGGTCTGTACTGTGATCAGGCTGTTCCAACACATGGATGCATAGTTCCAGGGGAATGTTTAGGGTCTGTTCCTGCTGGGAGGGGAACCTCCAATAGCCTCAACTGAGCTGTTTAAACACCCATTTTCTTCTCACCACCTGAGCAGCATCAGGCTGCAATCACCATGTTTTAACATGGGAGCCGCTGTGCTTCGGATGGAGTCTTAATTTTTATTAATTTGGTTCATCTGGACTCCATCCGCGTTCACTGTGACCCTAAACTAACTTCCTGGGTTTTTTTTCTCCTCTCATTAATGACTTTCCACAAATTCCCCCACGTTCCCCCCCAGATTCGCCTTATAATGTTGGTCATCTATCTTTTAAAATGCTTGAACAAAAATCTGTTTTACCATCTGACTCTGCTTTAAATTTCCTCACAGCTTCCTTCCTGATATGTCTTCAGTTTTCAATGGTAAATTTCTTTTTGCCTCTCACGTAAAACCCTGATAAAGTACAAAGTTTTGTGGTTGTAACAAAATGATATTTTTGTAGAAACACAGAGGCTTTATGGAGACATAAACACCATACTTGTCATTGCTCTGAGCCTCCTTGACGGGCTTCTTGCCCTGTTTGTCTTTATTCTTCAGATAGTCCTTCAGTTTCTCCGCTCTGTCCAGGTACTGCATACACTTGGCTCGTATGCTCTCCTTGGCCTTGTCGCTGTGGGCCTCGTCTGGACGCCATGAACACATCACACAGAGACGTCAGTGAAACAACACCCGTCCCTCCAGAAGCCAGAACGCTGTCAGGATGCAATACTCACATTTGATGGCATGCAGGAAGTATTCGACAGCATGCTGGTACAATCGCAGAGCCTCCTCATAGTTCTTTGCTTTGTCCTCCTCTGTGGCTTTGGTGACGAGATCAATCGCTTTCTGAAGCAGATAGAGGATAAATATGGATCGTTTCCAGTTTAAACTGTTAACACTTGATCTTAACCTACTTCTCTACTTCTAATCTTCAAAACATTTTACTTTAACAGCCTATTTCTACTTTGGCTCTAATCTTCGTTTGAGCCTCTTAACTTATATAGAATATGAGTAACAATGATTCTTGATCAAACTAAATCATTTTGATTATTTCTCTTTGTGATAGAGCATGAGAAATGTTCTTAACCAAACTGAAGTCCTTGCTTTACATGTTTCCTGAGTGACTGCTAGGTGCTACATTCAACAGCAGAGCTTATTAGCTGTAAACAAGACAGGAATATCTGGAACATAGAGGGTACCAACTTCCTGACGACCAGAACTTCAAAACAAAGTTTTATACATTCAGTTTATTCATTTAATTTCCTCTGATATGTCATGAGTAAGCTTAGATGGTGCATATACGGTAAATGGCAGCAAAAAAGGTTGGACCATTAATTCGTTAAAAAATCAGTTATTTAAATCTTTAGTCTGTGATGGTTACATGTTTAAAAATTGAGACCTTCTAACGGACGCTGTACTTGTTCTTCCATTGCTTAGAAAGTCATCATTTCATCACTTTGTTCTTAGATGTCTCATCATATCTATAAAAGCTAAACCATCTCTGTGTGAACCCATGAGCTGCAAACATTAGTGGGTTTTATTTTGGTTGTTGTGAAACATGAATATTTTACAAGCATGTTTTAAAGCTTGACCTTTAAGTTAAGGTCACCTCTTAAATGGGATGTTGGAAATAAAAACTAGTTTTTGAAAGCAATATGTGTCTTTTTTCCCCCCATTCTTTATGAGTCTCTTAAAGTTCAGGTCTGAGTCCATCGCTACACACAAATTTAGAGGCTGATTGTGGGTTTCTATGAGATATGAGTTACCTTTAACCCTTCATAGGGCAAGTCACCATTTTTGATCACTTGCATACACCACAAATGTAGTCCCCACCGTCCCTCAGTGAGGTCTAGAAGCACAAGATCTATATCCAGCAGTTCAGCAAAGATACTGCTACATGGCTAGGTAAAAAGGGTAAAAAGCTAATTGAAAAGTTAACAAGTTAATAAGCCTAGCTAACAATTATATTTAGGTTTGCAAACTAAAGAAATGTAAGCCAGTATCAGCATTAATGCCTCTAAGGTTATGTTGTACAAAAAAAAAAAAAACATGTTTCTTTCACTCTCAGTGTTTTTAATGAATTTCTTGTAGAATCACTTTTTTTTTGTTTTTCTTAATATATTTGTTATTGACATTAATTTTTGCCATCAATATTTTTTTAAGCTTACAAAGGTAATACGTTGTTGTCCTGGATTCCAATAACAGTATTGGCTTGAAATTTTGATTTTCAAAGTTATTTCACTGAGTGCCCTATAAATGGTTAAATGTATATATTTTAGTGCAAAACTATAACTGCAGTTTTGTTTTGATTTAGCTGAATAATAATATTATGGCAGATCCACTCTTATTTCCTCTCTGCATCCACCAGCCACTTGAATGAGCTCATAGTCACATGTTGCCATGTGACTATAAACCCATTGCAATAATGTCTAATAATACCAATAGATCAGCTGAAATGTGTGCTGTGTTTGAAACCAGCGGCTGCGTCCTCCAAAGACCAGAATCGTTGGCTGATTATGTCTTAGCGCAGCGCCGTGGGCTGTCCGAATCCAAAGACTCTTTCGTATGCGGCCAACGAATGCAGCCTCCCCCAAAAAAATTTAAGGATAGGTCTCATGTATCCTTCGTAGACCCCCCTATCTCATTATTCATTGTGAATCGAAGCAAGCCGGCTGCTCCGTGCTCAGAGGAAAAAGGTAAATAGCGCAGAACAGTGGTGAATATTGTAAGTGTAGTTTTAAATAAGTATGTGAATAGTTCCGTCTAAAATTAATGAAAATAGTTGTTTTAAATAGTTATTAAGTCAGATATGTGGCAGGTAATGTTTGGTTTATTGATTTTTATCTGTCCATGTGCAAATGGGTTTGGCTGATATTTGAGGACACATTGTAATAAATCTGCAGTGCCTGAGATATTGGTTCAACGACGACAGTACTGCTGCTGAAGCTCCTCAGAAATTAAATTAGCAAACAGAACAGTAGCGAGAAGTT